AAGTCACTGAGCCTAAGTGAACATACCTTTGCACTCATCCCCATTACAAGCCTTGAAAAAACCTTTTTGATCTTGAGAGAGCTGAAACAATTATTGATTGGAAAATACGGGCAAACCTAGAGGGTGAAAGCATGCATTGTGTTCTTCTTTGTGAGAGTGAGCGTTGTATTTGATTCCAAAATTTTAAATAATTAAACCATTGCGTGTGAATATGGAATCATTCTTTGTGTGAGAGCATTTGAATACCTTTGTTGACTCGAACTTGCATTTAAAGCAAGTATAGTGAGCTTGAGATTCTTTGATAATGGTGTATCACAACTTGAGTCTTTGAGTATAAAATTGATTCTTGCATGAGTAAGTTGAGCCTTGTTGTGTACATTCATGGTTGAGTCCTGTGTAGCACTGTTTGAGACATCCTTTTTGGACTGCCGAACTTGAGATTTACTTGAGGACAAGCAAAAGTTTAAGTTGGGGGTGTTGATGAGTCCATAATTTGGACTCATTTAGGGCTTTATTTTAATAAAATTAGTGTCCTCAAATGCATATTTTCTCTCAATAACTGATGTAAATCCTTAAGTTTCAGGTATTTGGAGTTTGAGGCAAAGCATGGACACTACTTGGCAAAAAGGAACACGGCGGTTGAAAAGAACGAAGAAATGAAGGCCTAAAGATCATTGAGCCCAGATGGCGAGTCACCGATGGGCCTATAGATCGCCTTTTGTTTCAGTGTGCTGAGCCCTGAAGGGAAAGATCAAGTTGGCGATGAAATGGAGCAGTCAGAGTGTCACCGAGCAGTTCTGCGAAGCAATACTATATCGCCCAGTGACCCAAAACGCAAAGAGGCTAAAGGCTAAATCAAGAAGGCGATGAAATCGACCATAACACTCGGGGATCTCGACTAACTGCGCCGAATTGTCCTCCACAATACAAATTTTCAAAACACTATAAATACTTGTTTGAATATCATATCATAGGACTGCTATTATTCAACCTTTTTACAGTTTTTGAGAGATTATAAGTTTTAGAGGGTTTTGGAGACTTTATTTTAAAACCTTGAAGATTCAAAGGGTTTCAACTCCAAGAAATTGTATGTGGATCTCAAAGATTCTTCACTCTTAACGTGTTTTAAGACTTAATTCTTCATACCCAATTGATGGAAACTGATATTGATATAAATTTTTATCTCTTTTACATGTCTATCTAAAACCCCAATTCTTGGGGTGTGATTTTGTGAATATGGGTTAAATTATATGTTGGGTCTTGCTTGTTGATGGTTTATTTGTTGTTTAAATGTGATTTCGCTTAGTAGTTGTGTATGAACTTAATGGGATTGTAGTTGCAAATACGATTTCATCTTAGTGTTTTTGGCTTGCTCGAGAGAGAGGTCATAAAACTAAGACTACTAAATTGATAACTGGTGGTATTGGGTCGACATGGGTTCAGCTCGAGAGAGTAAATCCTAGTCCTTCTCCCACACATTCAGCTCGAGAGAGTGAATGGGCTAAGGCGGAGGTTGTGCATAATGCGGCAACTCAGTGTTCGAGAGAAACCGAGTTGATTCGGGGTAAGTTGCTCGAGAGAGAATTTACCCCCACTATAGTCTAGCCTAGCACAAATTCTCAACAATTTACTATCAAAACATGTACCCGATAGTCTAGTTTAACCCGTATTCCTATCACATCCCAAGAATCCCGTCTCCCTATCGCGTTTCCTTATATTTTTACCCTTTTTTTGTTGTTAATTAATACAATCCCCATTGATAATTGATACTTGCATCACTCCTTAGATTTAATATGTTTTTATTCGTTAATATTTATAGCTATGAATAATTAGAACTTGATTTTATTTTTCTACTAATTCTCAAAACCACTCCTTGTGGGAACAATCCCAACCCTTGGTTGGGTTATATCACTACACGAGATCGTTTGACACTTGAACCAAAATAGTGTCAGTTGATTACATTGAACATCAATCGACTTCAAGGGTAGTTGGGATGATCACCTTCCTCTTATAGAGTTCACCTACAATAATAACTACCATTCTAATATTCAGATGGCCCCTTATGAGGCATTGTATGGACGTAGATGCAGATCTCCTGTTGGTTGGTTTGAAGTAGGTGAAGTAGCCTTGATAGGACCAGATTCAGTCCATGATGCTATGGAGAAAGTGCCACTCATTAGAGATAGACTTAAGATAGCCTAGAGTCGCCAGAAGTCTTATGCAGATGTAAGGAGAAGGGAACTAGAGTTCCAAGTTCATGAGTGGGTTTTCCTGAAAGTGTCACCAATGAAGGAGATGATGAGATTTGGCAATAAAGGGAAGCTCAGTCCCAAATATGTAGTCCCTTATAAGATTTTGAAAAGGATTGGTAAAGTGGCTTATGAGTTAGAAGTACCAATAGAACTAGTAGTAGTACACTCGGTTTTTCACATTTCACTCTTGAAGAAGTATGTGGATGATCCAACATCTATAGTACCTTTAGAGAGTGTGGCTCTGAAAGATAGTCTCTCATATGAGGATGTACCAGTTGAGATTATCGATTGTCAGGTTAGAAGGTTGAGAAACAAAGAAGTCGCTTCAGTCAAGGTTTTGTGGAGGAGTCAGTCCGTAGAGGGAGCTACTTGGGAAGCAGAAGTAGCCATGAAGTCCAAGTATCCTCACCTCTTTCCTTCCGATTCCACTCCAGTTTGAGGTAATAGTTCCTCTTTAGTTTTTCAGTCATTCATGCACAGATTCGGTCGTAGTACCATGTTCCTTCAGTTTGTACTTACATTTTCAGCGTATTTGCATGTTCTTAGAACTCAATTCAGTCAGAAATTCATTTCTCAGTGTTTAGTGGTAGGGTTTGCAGCTCTTTCCCTCCATTTCAGCTAGTTTAGTTTTCATTCGAGGACGAATGATCCCAAGGGGGAGATAATGTAATACCTCAAAAATCAGACCCAGAAAAAAATTGCAGAAATCTCACTTTGACTGTGAACCACGACAGGGTTCACGGACCGTGATAGGGACCACGGTCTGTTGACCTTCCCGTGGTGGGGGAGTTGGACTCCACCAGGCCCTGATGTCAGACCACGGGACCCTTCACGGGTCGTGGTCTTAACAACGGACTGTGGTGGCGTCCGTAGAAACGAGGCAGTAGACCCCCCTAGCCAGCCCTGAAACTCCCAGGCCTAAGTGAAGACCACAGACACCTTCACGGTCTGTGGTCCTTCACACAGCCCGTGGGAGGGTCCGTGAAGCAGGGCCCTCAGACCATCAGATCAAGTGAAGACCACGGGGGCCTTCACGTCCCGTGGTCCTTCACATGGTCCATGGTGGATCCCGTGAAGAAGCCCCCTCAACCAGAGGTCACTGGATCAAGAACCACGACCCACTTCGCGGTCCGTGGTCCCTTTCACAGTCCGTGAAGGTGGCCATGGTTAGCCCCGTCAGCAATTTAAGTCAGGGGTCTTTTAGTCTTTTCCTTTTTCGTTGGACCCCTAAACTATGTCGCTTTAACCCTAAACTACGTGGTTTTGGTTAGTTTTAGCCTTGAAACATAACTAGAACTTACCTAAGTCAAATCATTAATCAAAACTTAGAAAAATTAGAGCTTGAGAGGAGAAAACAAGTCAAGAACCCTAGTTCAAGAACGCAACTAGATTCCATCAGTTCCAATCTCGAAATCGAAAGATTTCTCCGTGGAATTCGTCACCAGGTATGTGGGATTTCACTAGTGGGTTCCTTTCGCCCATTAGGTCCCTAGAATTTAGTCAGATTCTTGATTCCCTTATTATAACTAGACCTAGGGTTTCTAGAACTTCAACAGATTATCTGACTTAGTTATTTACATGTTCCTAATCAGATTATCATGTTATTACTTCGTTTCTTGCATGAATTTCAGAACCCTAGCTATGTAGTTCTTTAGTTCTTGAATTACACATGCTAGGTCAGATATTTCAGATATACATGCCTCAGTTTTTGAATGTGTCATTATCAGTATATTAATGTTGCATTCTCAGTTGCATGTCAGTTTTAAGCTATCCAGTATATTGCATCTCAGTTTTGAGCTATTCAGTATATTACAGTAATTCAGTCATAATGTGTTAATCACTTATTGGGAGTAGCATAATACTGAGTTGGACTAGGGTCAGTCACCGTATAGTCCCATAACTACGAGCCACGAAGGTTGTAAGTCCCCTATGTGGGCATCATTAGCGATCACGCCAGTCATGCCTCTATACATGTGGCAGGGTATATTGGGTCCTCTCAATGAGACGTATACATCAGACTCCACATTTAGCTCATGTGGTTTTATTGTCGGTTATTAGTAGCTCCCATAGTTCAGTCAAACTATATTACATTGACCACATTTACAGTACAGTCAGTAATCAGTCTCAGCATGTTATAAATTTGGTCATTGCATTCAGTTAGCTTAGTATTCCGTAACTATATCATGTTCAGATTATATACTTGCTTTATTGGTTTTTTAGTTATATTTTTATTTCAGCTTTACTCTATCATTCATGCTCAGTACCTTTCAAGTACTGACACATACTCTGCGCTACATTTTCTCGTGATGTAGATCCAGGTTCTCAGCATCCAGACCACACATAGATCAGTTCCCGATCTCCAACTCAGAAGCATCAGCAGTGAGTCCTCATTCTTCGAGGACCATAGTCATGTTCTATTTCAGTTATTTAGTCTTTAGTTTCAGTTTTGTTAGATTTAGCTGGGGGCTGTCCCAACACTTCTAGTCAGTTAGAGGCCATTTTCAAACAAAGTTAGATTCAAATTAGTATTTGAGTTAATATCTCTTTTGTATTAAACTCTCAAATTTTTCATATATTCGGTTTTAGTATATGGGTATTCCCCATCATTTCAAATTTACTTCATGTTTTAAGCTTCTGCATCAATTTATTATTTCTTAGTATGCTTATGATATGCCAGCAGGGTTAGCTTGGGGTCACTTGTGATTCTATGTCCCATGTCCGCGTCTCAAGGGTAGCTCGAGGCGTGACATCAAGTTCATGAATGGCGTTTTTACAAGTGGGTTCATTCAAATTCTCTGAGATTGCATCCCCCAAACAAATTTTACAGTGTCGAAATTTTTTTGCTATTGTCTCTTGCTGAACATTTGTTGTCCAAGCAGGGATTGCAAAATTGATAGAATCCAAAACATTAATCTTTACTGGATCAGTTTGTCCCACTTCATAGCCTTCTAATATCTTACGATAAAATTTGTTACGATAATACATCTTGAAAACTCTTATTAGCCCAGCATCACAAGGTTCAATTTTGGATATCATGTTGGGTGGCAAGAAAAATAATTCAACATTTTGTAGTCCTTCAATGTTTCTATTATGGGCTGGACAATTATCTACCATAAGCAAAACTTGTCTACTGTGCATTTTGTGGTCAAACCAACAAATATATTCATCAAAAAACACACTTGTCATCCATGCTTTTGTTTGCACGATAGTGACAATATTCAATAAATATGATACATAAATTAGTAAGATTCAATGATTTTGATGTATTCGTTGTACTTTATATATAATATAGTTTTTTTATGTGAAATCAATAAATATGATACATAAATTAGTAAGTTACAATGATTTTGATATAATCAAAATTAACCTTCATTAAATCTCAAACCATTCTTTAAATTAATAAATATTAATTTATCGATTAAATAATATCTCTATAAAATAATAAAATTTCATGGTCTCACCTATATTAATTTATAGAGATTTTACTGTAGTATGTATTCTCATTTCATTAGATCATTTAATCTTAACCAACAAGAGTTACTTTGGAGTCATTAATATTTATTCATACTTAACCATATGTATCATATTCAAGTTTTAAGTATGAAATCACCTTTCTTAAAAATCATTTACCCCAATGAAACTTCTAAATATAAATTCGTATTTATTCTATCCCCAACACAAATATTAAATATTGGATGAAATTTTTTTATTTTTTAAAAAAAGGTTTAACCTTAGAAGATATTACGTCAAAAAAGATATTTAGTGGCAATAATTTTTTCTTTAATTATTTAATGATAATCAAATTATTGTCATTACATTTAGAATGTTAAAATCTTTAAAGACATGTATATAAAATGTTGATTATAAATATCATATCATATTATTGCAACTTTTATTATAGTGGGAGTTGATATATTTTTGTGCAAACATTTGTGTTGATAAATTTTACCTCATTTTGGTACTTTTTAATTTTTTTTTTAAGAACTCTCATCTTTTTCACTTTCTTAGTGATTCGAATTCATAATTCTAGGAAAGAGAAGGTGTGTATAGGTCTCAGTGAGGAGGTGTGAGAGACTGTTTGTAGGGGTATACAGAGGGGTAGAGGTAGGTCGAAAAGTATTGGGAAAGGTGATTAGATAAGACATGAAACAATTGCATATTACTGAAGACATGATTCTAGATACGATGAAGTGGAGATCACGTATTAAGGTAGAAGGTTAGTAGAGGTAGGCTAGTTGTAGGGGTATGCAAAGGGGTAAAGATAGACATAAAAAATATTGGAGAGAGGTGATTAAACATGACATAATGCAACTGTATATTATCAAGGACATGACTCTACATAGGATGAAGTGAATATCGTGTATTAGGGTAGAATGTTAGTAATGGTAGAGTGTTGTCTTACCTGCAAGGATTTAGACATATAATTAGTACCTATCGTAGTACTAGTCGTACACTTGTAGTTCTTGTTTCTAGTGTTAATCATCTTATATTGTTTACCGAGTTTCAGTTACCATACTATTTTGTTGTTATTATTACTTCTTTTGTCCGGCACTACTTTTCTTATTTTAGTGTTATGTTTTCTGCATCGTTGTTGGGTATTTATCTTGAGTTTCTTACCATAGATGAATAAGATAAAGTTTTCATATTTTGCTAATTTTTTTCTTGTAGGAAAATGTTTAGGACTCTATAAATAGATGTTCGCTTCTTCTAATTTAATTAACATTCACAATGTAGTCTAGAGGCTTTGAGAGTTTTGGTTAAGGGGAAGAATTTGTAGAACACAAGTGATACGTTATCACTTGTGTGAACCTCTTTGTAGTCCGAGTGAATTAGATGATATTATTTGTCTCTATATTTTGTAATTTTGATGTTTATATAGTGAATTGTTCATCTCTTTTATACCGAACTACGTTAAATCTTTGTGTTATTATCTTTTTCATTTTCAACCTTATAATTAACAATAAAAAATATTTACCAGGTGTCCTCTTTTTGTTCTTTTTATTTTTGGGTAAAGGAAATTGAAATTGAATGATATAAAAAGCTATTAAATCAAAGAATTCTGCAAATTCTCGATCATCACTGTTCCCGTCGTCTTTCATTCTCTCTCATTTTTCTTACCCAAGAAAAAAGGAACTAACAAAATTATAATAAAAAATAAAATAAAAAACTACCTGATCGCCAGATCTGAGAAGATCCCTATATTATATTTTCTTGTTTTCTTTCTTTAATCCTTCATTTCTTTAATTGATACTTAAAAGATGCAATTTTATATGAATTCTTCAATTTTTTGCTAAATGGGTATTGATCAAAATGTGTAACTGAAACTGGGTTAAGCTTCTTTTTAATTTACTTTTTTTGTTTTCTTGTTTTGGGTTGGTAATAAAGATACATTCTTTATTAATATTCAGAGAAGAATGATTTATAGATTTTTAGTTTGATTAAATTATGTAGATTTAAACTGGGTTCGGTTTTTTTTTGGTTAATTTTTGCGGGGGAGATTTTGATTTTACCGGAAATTGATTTGCGATGATGACGTCATCACCTCCGCCGCAGTCCGACGACGGAGGAGGAGGATCGAATTATATTCAACACCAAGTTACAAAATTTGATACCCTTCCTGGTGTAGCAATCAGATATGGTGTTGAGGTAATTTTTTTTGGTTTTGGTAAATAATACAAATAAAAATATTGGTATTTTGTAGTTGAAATGGAGTAATGAAGGATTCGTATAGTCGATCCTGACTTGTTTGGGACTGAGGGTTAGTTGTTGTTGGATTGAGTTATCGGTATTTATGAGATGTTGCTTCATGTGTGCTGTGTTTTTACTTTTGTTTTGATTATAGAAAGAATGGAGGAATTGGGGATTTTTGAATGAATAAATTTGATGCATTGTTCATATGATTTTACCTGGTTTCTCTGTTTGTGTGGGCTATAACAGGCTGCCTGGTTGATTAGTTGAGCTGCCGTAGTTTGCAAAAATGCCATTTTCATTAAAATATAGAAAGAGATTTTTGGACATTGACAAGAGAGTGATAGCTTAGTGAAATGAGGTTGTTGTGTTCGAGTTGATAAAAGAAAAAGTTGTTGTTTAGCTCCTCATAAAGGAGGTTTGGTGGGGATGGGGTTTGCCATATTTGGTAAAAAAGAGAGAAGAGAATTCTTGTGAACGATGTAATAGTGAAAATTGACGAGGGAGGCACAATATGTTAGAGTTGGGTGTTTATTTCCCTTTGATAAGTAAAAAAGAAGAGGAATAGTTGTTGAGGTGGTTTGATTTTACTGTGTTGTCTGTGAGCCCTTAATTTACAGAAGGAGGACGAGTCAGCAGCTCTAGTAGTTTTTGCATGTGATCATCAAAGTTCTCTTGGATCCTTTATTGGTTGTAGATGTGTGCTTTTACTCTGTTTTCCATGTGCCCATAATTGATAGAATGAAGACGGACCTAAATGTGGCAGCTCTAGAAGTTTTTGCTGGTGATAAACGTAACTATAGCATCAAATTCTGGTGGATCGTTTAGTGGTTGTAGGTATGTAGTGGCAGAGCTCATTTTGGCATGTACTCTCAACTCTGCTGTCAGTATATTGGATTCTAGAGCTATGGTTAGCCAGCCACTGCTCTTAGGGGTCGTTTGGTAGGCCGCATTAAAATAAATAATTCATGTATTATGTATGGTATTATTTAGTACTATGTTTGGTAGGAATTTGGGCCTATGTATAACTAATCCATGGATATCCCTCAAATCATTTTAATTAATTAATTTATTCTCTTGATTTTATGTTTTATATTTGTACTAGTAAATTTATTTAAATAAATTAGCTTACAAATTATTTAGAGAAATTGTTTGTTACTACGTAAATTCAATACAAATTAATACAATATTTGAAATTGTGAGTTGCTTAACATTAACTAATTAAAAAGGCAAATATATCAACGTCTTAATTGAATGTGTATATATATTTGTGTGGTTTCTAATTATTTGTATTTGAACAATTTATAAAATTGCATACATATTAAAACTACAACTTGCAATTTTTATGTGTAAATGTAGATGATTTATTCAGTTTTACTATTGTTTACGTCTTTTCAATTTTAAAAGTTGATAGTTTATCTTCTTTTTTTTTAAATTGAAAATTGACATTTTGTAAGTAATCAATTTACTAAGATGACAAATATTTATCCTCAAATAATTTAAGTGAAAAAAAAGGCAAACATGACAACAAAATTGTTCTTCTCATAGCTAGTTAGAAGGCCATAAAAAATAATATTGTCCGGCAATTATTTACCTTAACCTAATTACATAATAATTCAAGGGTATAATTGAAAGGAGTTTTTTATAAAGTTTTAACCCAATTCCAAAATGGGTTTGGAACCAATGAACCAAACACTTGGTAAAAATAAACCCTGCATTACTAATCCCTGTACTATTAATCCCTGCATTACTAATCCCAGCATTTGTAATCCCTGCATTATTCATTTTTGTACCAAACAACCCCTTAAAGGCTAAAGTTTATCTTTTTGGCTATTATTATAACAAATGTCTTTATGCACTTACTAGTTCTTCTTCTGCCATGTCAATACATATATATTATTATTTTTTGCACACTTGCAAGTTTTCTGAGAATGCCAGCTGATTTTATGAACATTTTGAAACAAATGCGAGGATAAATAGTGTGATGATTCAAGGAGTTTTGAACTTATTCTGTTAGGTGACATGCTAAGCATGCAGTTTATGTAATGGTGAACTTTAGTTTGTTTTATTTTTACTGCAAAATCAACATATCTTTTATCATTTTGCACCTAGGATCGCATCCTCCAAATAGATGATGGCTTTAACATGGTGTGCAATCATCTAATGTGACAGGTATCTGATATTAAGAAGTTGAATGGGCTGGTTTCGGATCTCCAAATGTTTGCTCGAAAGACACTTCAAATACCATTACCTGGGAGGCATCCACCATCACCCGCTGTCTCAAATGGTCAAGACACCCAAGGGTACTATAATGTTTCTTTAGAATCTCATGCCAGTGTCTCTTTCCCAACATTTCCTCTAGTACTGGTTATAAAGCCTTTATTTTAATGAACTTGTTGTACTAGTCTGAGGATAAAGCTTTTATCTTCTTTTTTTTAACTTTTCATCTTCTGCTTAGATGTATGAATTATAATTGCTTGTTTGCACGTTTTTCCTTTGTTATTCTTCTTGACATGAAAGCTATACACGGTATATTCTGCTCTGTTCAGAGCTGCATTAACTCCTTAAGAAAATAGTGCTTATTGTACGGGGGCACCCTTTTGATATAATATGGTGTTGGGGATCTGATCACAGTTACCTAGAGATGCCTTCATAACTTTGCATGTTGTTTGAACTTTTTGTTCTCAGCTTTCATTCCTTTTCTCTCTTTACAAATTTGACATGAATTAGATATTTCACCTAACAAACCACAATCTACCCCTTATTTGTTAGTTGAATGTTCTCATCTTTTTTATTTGTCTTTCACTACATGGAACAAGTCGTATCAGCTTGTGGTTCTCTGTTATTGTGATTTGTTTATGTCACCTGTAGAATATAACCTGCCGTGTTTCACTTAGATATTTAAGTAGGACTTGTTTAGGCAAGAGCTTTATATGTGGGTCTGATGGAGAAAAGCTTCAGATGAGCCTATTTACCTTGGGTGGATCTCTGTTGTATGTTGGAAATAGAAATTTCCATTCAAGGCACTTATAATTTGTGTTGTGCTGTATAAATTTGTTTACGTAATCTGGTTTGTGGGTAATATTACTTCGTCTGATCCACTTTATGGGACACAATTACTATTTGGGAAGTCAAATGAGTTTTTCTTTAACCACAGTTTTTTCAATTACTTTCTAAAAATAACTATTGTGACTTATTGTACTTTTTTTTGTAATTTAGTAATGCATAAGTTTATTTCAAAAATCTTGAAGATTCTATGTCAAAATTCACACCGAAAATTAGGTAATTTGACCATCGTACTTTGTATCATATCATGTTAAGTGGAATGGAGTGAGTGTAAGCATTATTAAAAATCCTGTCTAAAAGGAAAAAAGACAGACAAGCTTTGCTTTGTCCACAAGAACTTTACTGAAAGAAAGAAAAGATTGTCCACAAGAAGAATTTCTTGTATCATCTATAACTATTTTCATACAAAGTTGATGTTTAGGTGGTTCTTATATATTAGTATCATCTGACAATTCGTGGGGTCTCATGGAGTTGCAGAAATCATGTTCTATTATATGTTTTCAGGTACATATTCTGGATTACTTTTTCTTGAGAATTAGAATGAATTTGGTAACGCTTGCACTAGTATGGATTAGAGAAACTAAAGAGGATATTCATATTATTTCTCAAATCACTAGTTTCTGTGGAACCGTATTCATATGAACTGCTAGTCTAATGAAGATTGCTTAATTCTTCTTAAGTTGATATAACGTCCATGTTGAGTAGTATCTACAACTACAAGACTATTTTATGTATCTTAGTCATTTCTGTCTCATTGGCTTCTTGAGTACCACATCTTTGATATTCTAAAGCTTTAGAACTTGTGCTGAGCTATGTGGTAACTGTGATTTGTTTCTTGACAGGCCAAGCAGCTCTGAGCAGATCCCTCCGAGCAACCAATACCCTGATTTGTTTGGTTCATTTCAATCCCTGAAGTTGAAGTCTTCCTCCCAGCAAAGAGTTTCACCAGCCATGAGCTCTTTACTAGGTTATCAGGGCCCTAAACTGGCAGATCAGAAAGTTGCATCTGAAGGTTTTGAAATGGCTGTCTATCGTAAAGGAGTATCACATTATTTAGAAGATGGACCATTTGTCATGTCAACTCCTCATTCTAATCAACCACTCGGTCTTCATAGAAAATGTAAAAGTGTAGCTAATGATATGTCAGAGAACGGAGTAGGTAGCGCTGAAAATGGCTCTAATAGATTGTTCGAGAAATTGTCTAGAAGGCGTCAAAAATCTGAGGCTGATTTCAGTTCCCGCACCCCAGAAGTGCTGTTGAAAGAAGATAACAGCAGTGGCAGCGGGTTTTCTGCTGCTGCTGGCAAGGGATTGGCTTTGCGACCTAAGTCAGCTAGTCGAATTCTCCTTGGACCAGATGCTGAAGCAAGTTCCATAAATCCTATCACTATGCTGTTGAACGATTCTTTTCTGAACGACAGTGCAAGTGTCAGGAAGTCATCAAGTACACCGAGTTTGCAGGAATCAGACAGTAGCACGTTATCTTCCCTGTGGACAACATCAAAGTGGAATTTGAAGCCAGATTTCCAGGCAATTTCTACTGCAGCAATTACCAAACCAATCTTTGATAGCCTTCAAAAACCCACCGGTCCTCGAAAAAGCAAGACTGCTGTTGATTAGCTATTCTTTCTGCATTTTTTGTTAGTCCTCTTCTTAACACCTAGAAACTGAAAACTAGCTATAGAAGTAAAACACTAAAAATACTTGCTTATTGCTGGCATTTTATCTTTTTTCTTCCATTCCTTTTTTTGTGTTGCAAAAATAGGTTAAGTTTATTCTTAGAGTTGAAAATCTGTAGCAGCACAGCAAAGATCTGTGTAGTAGAAATTTTTGTTGCTTCACGGACCTTCCAAATCCTATATATGTTAAGTACATATATAGGTCTATTTATCTGTAACTGGGAGGAAAGATCATTGGTTATATTATTAAAATATATTTGACATTCTTTCTGCATATCTTGATTCACATGGTTTTGATTCATTCAATGTATATCAATGTGCTTCTGCCACAGTTTTTAGAGACTGGAGACTGAAAATAATTACATTGCATGGTCATCTTTGAGTTGTTGCACGGAGGGTCTTTCAGAAACAATCTGTCTATCTCCACGAGGTAGGGATAAGGTTTGCATACACCAGGGGCGGAGCTACAGTGATGTCAGGGTGTTCAACCGGACACCCTTCGTCGGAAAATTATATCATATATATAAGTAAATGGTACCCTAAATGACTACTTAATATATTTTAGACACCTTGAGCCCATCAAGCATGAGTAGCCCAGTGGTTCTTGAGGCTGAAAAAGTAGTGTGCATGGGGAGCGCAAATTCGATCCTCACCATCAACATTTTGTCATTTATGCCATTTTTTATATTTTAAAAAGAGCTTCTTTTAGTAACTTTCTAAATCTAAATAATAGTTAATAAATCTATCATTAGAAATAATTAAAAATTAATTTTGTCATTTATGCCATTTTTTATATTTTAGAAAGAGCCTTTTTAGTAACTTTCTAAATTTAAATAATAGTTAATAAATCTATTATTAGAAATAATTAAAAATTAATATTATTTGATAAAATAATTCTTAATTAGATACAACTTAAAAATTTAAGGAAAAAGATCAAAAATTTAGAAGTGAATCAAAATTTTAATTGATTTGACTTTGATTTTAAAAAAAAAATATAAAACATATTTTTTTATTTAATTTAAGTTAATAAACAACCCTGGAATTTTATATAAAATAACTAAAAGCAAAAAAGGTTCCATATAGAATTCTTTTTTAAAAGCCTTGTTTGATTGTACTCTTTATTTTACATGTCTCGTTGTTATTGTCGTCATGACTTGAAGCATAAAAATAATGTCATTCTAAGTTGAATTTTCTCCATTTGTCTCTCTTTTTTTTTCTTCCGTACGATCACGTTATATTAAACTAAATCTACATATTAAAATTATGAATCAATTAGTTTAACTTAAATTTTTTTTGTACATTTGTTCATAAAAGAAATTTAATTATTAATATTACGTAGTTTGCTTTTAAAATTTTCAATACACCCATTCGTCATTTTTTTTAGTTAATGTAATTCTTGGACATCCTTCGTAAAATTTCTAGCTTCGCCACTGGCATTAGGGGTGTGCAAAAACCGATTTAACCAATAAATCGAACCGAAAAAAACACTATTGGTTTATTGATATTGGGTTATTGGGCTAACGGTTTTTTAAACGGTTTTGCAAATTTTTTTATTGGGTTATTGGTTCGGTTTCCGGTTTTATAATTTTTGTTAATGGTTAAACCGATAACCCAATAAGACTATACTAAATTTACTTGTCTTATTGTTAATGGTTAAACGATTGTTACTTTCACACTTTTTATTAGTGGTTAAACGATTGTTACTTTCACACTTTTTCCTTTGAATGTGTCTAGTGTTTAAACTTGCAAGAAAAATGATTGTTACTTTTATGATTATTACTTTCATGCCAAATGCTGGAAAAATCATCTGGTTTATTTGAAAATTTTCTTATCATGTATATAATATATATGAGTATTTTCTTATTGGTTAAACCGAAAACCGAACCGTTAAGTACCATAAACCGATTAACCAAAAACCGATAAGAAATATGTTATTGGTTTGGTTATCGGTTTGAAGTATTTACAAACCGAAAACCGATAAACCGAATCAATAACACCTAAAACCGAACCGAACCGACCGATGCGCACCCCTAACTAGCATACACTATCATTTCTAAACCTCACTTGTGAAATTACACTAAATATATTGTTTTTGTCCTCTTTAACTCAGAAAAAGCTCAAAGTAGGCCATGCTTGCTATGTGCAATTGTTAAGATCTCCAAACCAGGAGTGCTTCCCTGGTCCATAAAAGATTTTCTTTCATGTGATGCTTGAGGGCATGCCTAGCAATTAATAAAGGAAGTGAAAATCACAAGAGATCAGGGTTTCTAGCATAGACAAAAAGAGTTTGGTGATTTTGCTTTTGTACTATTGATGGAGAGAGTCACTCCGATATTTATATTACAAGAAATAGCAAGTACCTATGGAAAGAGTTAAGGTGTGCTCAAATTAACTCAAAATTTGCCTTTACAGGAAATATATTTTTTCCCATGCAAGAATTGAGATGTGATAATGCAAAACAACCGTTTTTGTGCTGATATACATTGGTATGTTTAATTGCATATAATTTTGAGAGAAGTTGAGCGAAAATGCGTTTGACGCTAAATTACATTCAATATTCTATCATTACACCATATTGATGATCCTCCTTAAATACCTATCCATATCATATGTTTACATCAAATATTCCTTAACCATGTGACACATTGTGCAATGAGATTCAAATGATTGCTAGGATAATCACAATTAGTTGTCAAACCACCAAAAAAATTGCCACCAATCAACCAAATTTATCTAACTAGTGCAGACGAACAACAAATATGCATAGTATGATAGTATTTCATTGAATTAAGGATGGATAAAATTTAAATAATAGCCTCAAGAAAGGCCATTCTGTGCAATTTTCTCATTTAGGATTGAGGAATGCACTAATAGTCACTTTAGGACCGCTATTTTAAACATGTAGTTAATATTTTTCAAAGTATTTTAAATTTAGTTGTCTTCCAATCAAACGTGAGACTCAAATTAAGGGAAAAAGTCAATTTTTGACAATGCAAAACTCTAGACTCAAAGGTCTTAAAAAAAAAAAGCAAACAAAAAGAAGCAGTCGTTTTATAGCTGTTTAGATTTATACTTAATACTATGAAATGTGGTACTAGATACTAAGGGGTCGTTTGGTGTGATGGATAAGAGAAAGTTATCCTGGGATAAAAATTTAGTGCCTCTTAATCCGTTGTTTGGTTAGACAAGATGGATAATTTATCCCAAGATTGACAAATAGTACTGGGATAAGTTATCCCTCCCCGAGGGTGGAATAGTAATCCCAGGATAACTTATCCTGGGATAAAGCATGTAAATTAACAAAATTACCCCCCTTAAACTCTCTTTTATACACTACTTTATACATTCATGTATATTAATATAATTTTAAACAACTATAATAACATTCACAACTACGGGTGGGCATAAACACCGAAAAACCAAAAAACTGAACCGAACCGAATTATTTTGGTAATTCGGTTTCGGTATTTCGGTTTTCGGTTCGGTATTTGGTATATGGTTTTGTATTTTTCGGTGTTTCGGTTCGGTTTTCGGTATGTAATTTTTGTGTAATTCGGTTTACCGAAATATATTAAATTATAATATATATTAATATTATATTAATTATTAATAATAAATATTATAATTTAAAGTTAAAAACAAAAGTTTGTCTTTTCAAACTTTTCAACTTTACAAAAGGCAAAAATTACCGTTCCCACTTCCCACGTCTAGTCGTCTACAGACTATAGCAGCGTCGACCATTCCGGCGACCAGCAGCATGCAGCAGTTGCCAATTGACCAGCAGGCAGCCGTAGCACAACAACGACCGGTAAATTTCAATGTTATAACAATGCTTCAATGTTAACGACAATTTATTATTTTGAATCATACAATAATTTAAAAAACAGAGTAAAATAAGCAAAAAGAAATAAACATAAATAAAATAAACAAAAAAATTACAAAATTTTAAAAAGCCCACTAAACAAACCCATAACAAAAAACCGAATTAACAAAAACCGAACCGAAATAATAAAAACCGAACCGAACCAAATTATTTCGATTCGGTGTTCGGTACACGTTGTACAAGAACCGAAAACCTCAAAAAAACCAAAACCGAACCCAAATACCGAATGCCCTGCCCTATTCACAACCTTACTTAATCGTTGTTTTTATCATAATATATTTTTCTATTAAAAAATTACATTTTATAAATACAATTTTTATTTATGAATATATTATAAGTTGATTTTTTTTTTGCCTAATTTTATGTTTATTTATATTTTGATTTCTCTTAAAATATTCACTCCACTACTAAATTACATATTTTGAATTACATAGTTTATTACTCACTTAAAAATTATATTCTATGTATCCATTAAAATGTAGATAACTTTAATAATAAAATTTCTTTTACTTTGATAAACTTAAAATGAAAGTTTTATTTTTAAACTTAAATAAGATCAAAAGTTTTATTTTTAAGCTAAATAAGATGAAAGTTTAATTTTTAAGCTAAATAAGATGAAAGTTTTATTTTTAAATTAAATAAGATGGAAGTTTTGTTTTAAAGTTAAATATGATGAAAGTTTAATTTTAAAAACACATGGCACAATCATGGAAATACACATATAAAAATATTTAAGCTAAATAACATGAAAGTTTGATTTTGAGAATGAATAACTAAAGTTTGTAAAGAAAATGTAAAAAAAAAAAAAAACTTAATAAGGTGAAGGTTATTTTTGTAAACAAACAACTTATTATTAAAAATTATGCAATGGATATAAGTTTGAATATGACAAACCAAAGAAGCAATAAAAACTACTCCAACAGAACTAATCCCAATATAGCTTATCTTAGCATAACTTATCATAACATAACTAATCCCAGGATAAAATGACCCCTAATTATATTGATTTTAATACATAAATAATTCACCTAAATCATAAATAAATTATAAAAAATGGTTACAATTTAAATAGCCAATGGTTAAGTGGTGCGACGGGCTGCTTACAAAAGGAGCCCATAATCTTAAAACCCTAGCTATATACATCTCCCCTTATTT